ACACACACACACACACACACACACACACACACACACACACACACACACACACACACACACACACACACATATTAAAAGATTGCACCACAAACATCTGCATTGAATCAGTATTTACATTTTTGTAGCCCTGAAAAGACAGTGAGAGAGACACTTATCTTTAGAATAAAAACTTGTAAAGAAACAGATGGGTGTGGGTGAAGGAGTCCGGGGTAACTGCAAGCATACGCATAATAAGTCAACTAATAGCCCTCGAAGTGTGTTGCCGAAGGAGGAGGTAGGTCATCAGAAACCCAGTTTCCTCTCTATTTTGTGCATTTACAGGTGATATTAACCAATATTGTTTTGTGGTGACACTTGATATTTTGATTTAATTTACTTATGAATACTTTCTAAAACCCATCAAATGTGGTAAAAAGCAGCCCAAATTTTAACAACCCACCCAAAGCTATTTTTTCCAGCTCAATGTGTTCAAAAGAAGCCCAATTGGGAGGAAACCAGCTCAATCTGGCAACACCCTTAGAAAGCAGGAGAAATGTTAGCAAACATCATTACCCAGGTGGAATAGCTCCTCGGGTGGTTCCCATTGAGATACGCTGGGTGCCTGGTCGGTTCAGGTTGTTTTGCCCGTTGATCGTGAGAGCGTGGTGACCATGGGAGGATGAAAGCGATGGCATCACAGGAGAGCAGGGGAAGTTGGCAGAAGACAGCGGGGACTGCGCCTGCTCGGCTTTAGACTGCCCACCTCCCACGCTGATGTTATTGTTGTTGGCGCCGGAGGAGGCGGACGTCGGAGACCACAGAGAGGTCCCGGCGAAGGTGTTGCTCTGCCGCACTGTGGTGAGGGTGCCCGTCACCCCTGAGTTGCCGGCGGCCACTCCGTAGAGCTTGCGCCGCTGAGAGGCCAGGATAGCGTTGGAAGCGGCTCTCGTGCTGTTGACCAGGATGCACTGCTGGCAGGAGCAGGGCTGACCCGAGCTGGCGCCCACAGGCCACGACTGTGACTTGGGAATGGAGCCCATGATGAGCGGGTAGGCCAGATCCATACGTCTCCGCAGGCGCCGCTTGCGCTGACTCTGCCTGTTGGTCTGCGACATGCTGTTGAAGTCGATGAGGTAGCAGAAGCCCAGAGAGGTCAGGTCCAGCCAGGGGTGCTGCTTCTCGTAGGCGTTCTGGATTGTCACGCAGATCTCCATGTCGTACGGCGTCCAGGAGCCGTTGTCGTTCTCCCACTCCCACACCACACCTTTCCCTGGGGCAGACGAGGGCTCGTAGAAGTTCCTCTGCACTGGTCTCATGGTGCCTAAAACGAAAAAGGAAAATAAGAAACATAAAATGACTTATTGTCTTGATGGCTGTTGAAACTATTTAGTCTTTCCCTAAATCCAAAGAGGCAGGAACCAGAAAGCCTATAATCCATGTATAGATTGTTCTTTTGTTTAGCAGTAACAAAAAACAAAACAAAACAAAATTAATACTCAAGTGATTTTTTTAGTTCTTCTATTTTAAAACTAAATTAGAAAAATCTCAAGTAAAAAAAAAATTATATATTAGATTTTAATGGGTAAAGCAAAGACAAACTATATTTTGTTAGTGCCTCATATGGGACATTCTGGCAAAACAGGAAATCATAGCCTGACCTCCTGGAGCATTACGTTTTCACTTCTTACGTGGATAATTTTGTCTTAGTTAGAGGGAATGGATGCACTCTCACTGAGAGCTGACGATTGTACCATGAACAAAATTGCTTGAATATCCCAAGTAATGCATACTGAGTGCAGCCACTGCCAAAATACTGATGATAGGTTTCCATTAGTAAGCAGTCTTCCAGCCACTATAAAGTCCTACTCTTTGGAAACCCATTATTTCTGATATCCCTACATATTAAACAACCATACATCTTATTTTGGATTTGGATAGCTGAATCAAAAATCAAACACTGTGGATTTTTAACTATTTTCACAACAAGGGTTAAGAACATGAAAAAAAGACAACATGGTTTTCTTTTTACGATTTTCATTTTTAATGGAAAAAACAAAAATAAAAAAGGACAGATTGACTATGTTGAATAAAAATCCTATTTTTAATCTTTGCCTTTCAGCCCATGTTTATTACACAAGTAATCTATCATCAGCCAATCTGGTGATGACTTCATAGCGATAATAAATTCATGGAGATTTGTTCTTTTGAGGATTCAGAAATACTTCCTGAAATGACCCTGACAATGTCAACAGACTCATTTATCATCACTTGTCATTTTTATAGGATGAGTATTGTATAATGAGTAAAGTGAACTGTGTAAAATCAGTGAAATGCATCAGATTTATTCTAACTCATACAGATAGAAAATGAGATGGTTCAGTTTTGTCATTCAAAAAGCACGTTTTCTCACTAAAACTTCACCAGTGAAGATAATAGGTTTAGCCTATTACAATTACTATGTAAATGATAACATGAGAAAAAAACCAGACTAATTCCTCAGGACAACAGCTTGAGGCAAAGTGTCTCTGGAGGTTCAGGTGCTTGATGTAAACTAACAAGTGTTGGGACAAACACGACCAGCTGATGGAAATGAGATGTAACGTTTTAACCCACGCCGAAGGGGATAACAAGCCACTAAAATCTCTCACCCTCCAAACGCTTCCACTTGATATGAAAGTGCTAACGTTGCCTTTCAGAGAGACAAACATCATACCCACAAAGGCTAGACTCGCTCCTGAACGGAGATGGGAAGAGGAAGGAGGAGGTTCTTTGGGCTGGGAACTCAGCTCCCGCCTCCATTAAAACACAATTACTGTGGTCACGTGGGAAATCAGGACACCTTAGCCTGTCCATCTCCACGCTGCACGTCAGCAAGGGTATCCAGGCACTCCAGTAAAAAGTGCCCCCCGTCCACTCCTCCTTCCCCCAGCTAATTTAACGGGTAAATGCACACTCCTGTGCCAGGGAGAGTCGTGGTGATAATGGAGGAATGGGGGAGTGCGTACCCCTTGCTCGTTTGGCAGCTTGGTGCCAACATCAGGGAATAAAACTGCATCAGCAGAATCAGGAGGTTTGACCTTGATCGTCTCCTGCAGACTGCTGTTAAAAAGACCCGGTTTGATGGCTAATTTTTTCTAGAGCTGCTAGGAAACACACACCACACATACACACACACACACACACATACACACACGCACACACACAGATGCATGCACACACTTATACATGGCTAGTCAGTGACCAACGGGCCGCGTCTCCTTTGTCCTTACTCTACCAGCCATACACAATGTTCTCTGCAGGTTGCATCTGTGACAGCTAATAGTTTTCAGTTTTATTTAATACCTGCTGCTGTGAGAGATGGGTAATAATGTAATAGGCCATGTGTGTTTGCACGTGTGTATCCATTTGTCTGACTGTAAACAAACTATCTCATTGGGGCACTGGACAGGATTTTAATGAAACTCTCAGACAGTAATCATTGGATGTGCATCTATAACTGATTAACCTTTGAAGTCCACCTGCCACAGCTGATTGGTCTGTAACGATGCCATTTTTACAGACATTAAACTAAAAATTCGTGTGGTTGTTGTGAGTCATCCACAACATATACTCTATCGAGTGCAGAATGTAAAAATTCAACAACCACCCCATAAAAATAAAAAATAAAAACACGAGTGCACTTTCTTTACTTTTAGTGCGTTTTCCTCACATTTAGTAGGAAATACTAAATATATAAATTCATAGTATTGTAATTTGACACAAAAGTTAAGAAAACCTAATAGAAAACAGAAAAATGGAACGAGTTGAAAAATATGACCCTAACAGAATATAAAGATATCTAACTAACAACGGGAGAGACTAAATTAAACTTTTCCTTTTTTTAAACTTGAACGTGTGTCTGAGTTACAACTTTAGAATTTAATCTTGATTTGACATTTTATTACGTTGCTTATGTTTAATTTCGTAATATTCTGTTTTATTTGATCTTTTCTCCATTTTTACATTGTTAATGATTGTACAGCACCTTGTGAATACATTTCTGTGAAAGGCACTTTATAAATAAAACTTTATTTACTTACTTACTTTTCTGCCTCCTAGAGACTCCAAACTTACAATAATTGTAATGGCTAAAAAAGGGGATTTTCCACAATAATTTTTTCTGTGTTCTTTATGGAAACCAATAAAAACTAACAATAGCACAGAACATTAAAAAATAAAAACAACCTCTTCTGTATCTCCTGACAGTAAGTGACTTTCTGCACGCTGAGCAAGGCTGCGTTCCCCTCTGCGGGTTCTAAGAAACGCCTTGCATTCAGCACTTTCAGACTGCAATTGTGTTTCTGGCAACAATCAACACCACGCCAGGTTTTCCACAGGCTTCATGAATATTTGAACACGTGAAGCTGTTTAATTCCCAAACATCAATTTACCCTCTCGGTTTCCATAAAGAAATATTTACAGTATCTCTCTCTGAAAGCCTAATAGCATTGCTCAGGCTGATTGCACAGAAGTGCGTAAACTGAACGCAGCCACCCCCTCTGTGTTCAAATCAATTTCCAGTAGGAAAGCTAGCTTTTATTATATGTGGGTAAAATGTAGTGATCAGGTTGTTTTTATGTCAGAGCAGCTTGATTACCATAATGACAAATCCACCTAAAGGTGCTGACATCACCTAATTGACCTGCGAACTAATCAGCATAACAAATGAGCATTGATTAAATATGTTTGCTTAGAAATGAATAATTGCATTTTGATGGTTTATTAGAACGTGCTTGTGCCTTTAATGTTTAAAAGACGTGCTGCTCTTTTATTGGCCATTGTTGCTGCACCTTTTGTCGCCTTTTGATCGACAGGGTTTGCTCTTGCTCCTAAGTTCTGTTCTGACTGGTCAGGAGTGGCAACATTTGAGGCAGTCGCTCACTCTTTGTTTCAGGTGTGCATAATAAGACAGTAAATATATTAATTATACAAATTACACAAAAGACTTACATGATCATGACAAGTGAGAGAAGAAAAGGCTGCGTTCAGCAGGCAGCACAGCAGCAGTTTGGTTGGCAAAAATACCGACTGAATATGACGAATTATTTCTTCACACTGTGCTTCTTTCCTGTTTTGATTGACGTTATCAAAGATGTTTCATTCCACCATCTTCTCAACAAATTATGGATGGTAGATTTATTTCTGATGAAATTGTTTATTGTAATAATATGTCAGAAATTTTGTTAACATTATCACATGCTTCCAAAGACAAAAGATCAGCGATTATGTTTCTCCTGTTAGCAAAATACCTCATGAACCAATAAACAGACGTTAATTAATCTTACTGTGCATTGCTTTATTGTGCATTTATCAACTTTTTGGACAAATTTAAACAGCATTTATTTTATTATTTATGTAAGGAAGGTCACTGCCTGTGTTTGTCAGTAGATTTACACCCTGCTGACTGAGATCAGAACTGCAGGCAGCTCAGTCTCATTGGGTTAGAAATAAATCTGCCCCACAGACACATTCTGCTGGTTTTAGCTCATTGATACAGCCAACATTGGAGATTTTCTAACTAAAAAAAAAAAAAAAACAATTGTGAGACCACAGAAAATAAATTCTCAGACAGCAGCATGGAGCAGACAGATCAGACATGAACCGAAACACAAAACAAAAAAACAGAAGGGAGAAATAAAAAAGGAAATTATCTCCACATTTATTTTCTGTATCTATGATCACCCACTCATTATTTGGCTGCTAAACATAATAGTTTAAAGCAAAAGGGTGAATATATACATACATCAGTTTTATATTATTTTCAAAATTAATTAAAACAAGTTATGTGATTAGTGAGTCAGGAAACAAGTACCCATCCTACTAATATTTATCTTCAAGAGCTGCTACTGATTAACATGTGGAGTGAGCTCAATTCAAAATGTTCACCACAGATAACAAAAAACAATATAATGTAGTCAAATTCACAAATATTGAGCAATAATTTGGTGTGGTCTCTAACTATAGGAGTTTATTCTGCTTCTCTTGTATGTGGAAAGTTGTCCCTGTTTCAGTAGGACAGTTGTCTCACCTCGAAGTCGAAGGACAAAGCAGGAACATCTATTAATACAAAGCGGTCCACGTGCTTGACCCAGAACTCAAATTAAATGAGTTAGTAGTGCACAGTAGTTTTTAACTCCGTGTTACATTAGGTGTTTGGTGTTGCTCGTAAATTTGTGCTGTGTCGGTGAAAAATTAAAACTGTGAATGCATCGCTTCAAAACGTGTAACTCTCATATTACAGCATTATATTAAAAGCACTATTCATAATGTAAACAAGTGCCA